TCCACTTCAGCCCTATTCTGTGCAGGGCTTCCCAATGCTCTCCATACTAGCCCCTCTGGGGTCTCCAGGACCTCATATCCCTGCTGGGCTCAGGCGCCTACACAGGGACATACCTGGCCCCCACTACTTCCCCAGCAGCCTCCAAAACCCGCCCAAAGATAGGGGCTGGGGTTAAGGCGCCCCTCCTCGCCTTTCATAGGGGAGGTAACTGGCCTGGCATTTCCTGGGGACTCCTGCACCACTGGGAGCCCCACCAGGCCACCCTTCCCCAGCGGGATGCAGTTTTAGATCATGCCCAGGGCCAGGAGCCTCCAAACCACCCAAAGGTGACCTATCACAACATTAATGGCCACCATTGTCATAAAGCTGCCCAGTTATACCTCTGCATTTAATCTTCATGAAAGTTGACTTAAGTGATTAAAAAATTAAATAAAAACTACTAAGCAAGATGCCTCCAGCATAAATGTTGTCTCTTATCTGTTCATTTGTCTGTCCAGTTGTAAGCTCATCAAGGCGTGGACCTTTTCCATTGGACACTAATGCAGCAGTTTTGTTACTATATAAATAATTAAAAGCCTACTTTTAAAGAATGTTATGGTTATAAAATACAAAAATAAGGACATGCAGACATTTAAAAACATACTAGACCCAAAAATATCCCTCTGTCAACTACATATCTGTTTGTAAATATAGATGATAAAATCATTAACAATACTGTACAAAGTGCAAAAATATTCAATAATGTTTCTGCACTGTATTTGGAATAAGGCATGAGGATACTGTGGCTGGAATTGTAAATTTATCTTTAGTAACACAGGAGGATATGAATAGATACCTACAAGATTCACGGCAGAAATGGGCTGATCCCCTCGCATCCCCTGTCACTGATCGGTGGAGGGGCTCCACTTGCAGCTCACTCCTGATTGGCAGGGAAGCGAAAACCATAATTTTAAACTTGGCACCATTTTTGCCTCCCTGCCACTAATTTGCTGAGGGGCCCTGGTGGCCTTACTGTTTGCTGCTGACTGGTGGAGGCAAAAACATCACCAAGTTTTAAATTATTGTTTTCACTAACCTGCCATTCAGGAGTGACCCACAAGCAGGGCCCCTCCACCAATCAGCAACGAGGGGCCACACAGAGACCCTGTGAAATTAAACAAACTGTAGTGCAGCGTCTTGGTCATTAACTTATAGTCTATATTGAGTGTAATTGGTCTCCGGTTTTTCAGGAGTTCCTTCTCCCTTTTTTTAAAAAGTAAGATCACAAAACCTCTTGTAAAATTTTTCCCTGCCTCTCCTATCTCTGCTTTTTCCTCAAAAACTTCCACTATACCTATGCCTAAAACTTCTCATAAAATTCCATAGTCAATTTATTGCTCCTGGTGATTTCCCTTAAAGGTTTTTAAGCACACCTCCACTTCCTTTATCTTTTCTTCCTACTCCTCCACTTTCTCTTCAGCAAATCCACCATCTTCTTTACTATTTCCTTCTTCTGATTCAGGTCTTCATAAAATGTTCTTGTTGCCTCCAACAACTCATTTTGCTTTTCCACCTTGTGACTACCACCTTCAGGGCTGGATTAACCCCTTACTGGGCCTTAGGCCAACAAACTCATGGGCTCTGGGCTGGTCAAGACCCCCCTCCCCACCCCAGTACTGCCACCCATGGGGAGTGGGGCTGGGAGCAGTGTTGCCAAGTCTCACAAGAAAAATAAAGCAGCACCATCTTTAAAAACAAGCCCAAAACAATCCCAACACATTCCAGTAAGGATTGCCAGAATCTTCCAAGGGAGGTGGTGCTCTCCCCTACCGTTGAGTTCTTCAAGAGGAGACTGGACAAGCACCTAGCTGGGGTTGTCTGACCCCAGCACTCTTTCCTGCCCAGGGCAGGGGGTCGCATTCAATGACCTACTGACGGACCTGCTACAGAATTCAGGGACCTGGGACCCCAGTGGACACGGACCTCAGTGTCAGGGACAAGCAAGGGCTGCATAACACAGCCTTTCGTTGCCCTGCTGTCACCTAATCTCCTACTGCTTGCAAGCCCACACCATTTCTGCTTGCCCTATAGCTGTCAAAGCGGCTACTGCAGCAGCTCCGCAGAAAAGGTCCTGGAGGTTACAGTGGACAAGAAGCTGAATATAAGCTAAAGTTACCTAGAGAGGTTATAGACTCTCCATCCCTGGAGGATGTTCGGGAGGTTTTTAAGACCCGGCTAGACAAAGCCTTGGCTGGGATGATCTAGTTGGGGATGGTCCTACTTTGAGCAGGGTGTTGAACTAGGTGACCTCCTCAGGTCCCTTCCAACCCTAATTTTCTATGATCCCATGATCCTGCTGCAACTGCTTTTGCTGTCCCCATGAGGCACCCTGCTATGCCCTGGGCTGGATCCAGTCCCCAAGTAGCCCCCATAGTTTGGATACAGCCTGGTGCCCAAGGTGAATTTAACACCCTGCCCTAGATAATTCAATTCTATCCCTGTCTCTGCTGTGCATGTATTATGTGACACTGGACAAAATGATTTCAACCATTTCACAGGTAGCAAGAACCAGCATATCCTCTTCTTCTGAGTGCAGAGCTTCATCACAGGTTTAGGCTTGGGGGGGAAAAAAGAGGCTTTTCCCATCTAGAACTGTGCATTGTTAGCAGGGCCCTAACGTCTTCCTGTCTCAGGTCCCCCACTATAAAGTAATGCCACTGCATTGAGGCATGGAAAATAAACTCAGGGGTCTTATGGCTCAGATCAAGCATAGTGGCAGCGCTGCTCTGTTGCTTAGACTGAGATGGATTTAAATGGCATTGCGTAGCTAATGGTGTACTACGTCCAATGCACCACGGGCAGGACGCCCTATGAGTCTCGTAATTAGATACCCGCTGGCTGGCCGGCGTCCAGCAGGAGGATCTAAGCTACACACCTATGTTATGGAAACTGGTGACCCCTCATTAGCTTGCTCCTGTGACCACTGACTAATGGCAAGGGAGACTCAGGCATCCGAACCCCAAGCCTCTGGGCTTGGGCCTGGGCCTGCACATAGGATGCCCACCAGTGGATTTGGGAGTATCTGAAGCCCCTGGCTGAAAAGCCCAGGGTGGAAGATACTTGTTGGTAGCAGTGCCACACACACCTCGATTGAACGTTGCTCAGTCAAAAAGACTGAGAACCGATTTGACTTGGAACACAAAATATTTCCCAAAAACAAAATAGCCCCCGCCCCACTCAGACAGCGCGGTGAAACCCCGCTACCGCAAGCGGCGGTTTGTGGGGGGTGTAAAGCAGGGCCTAAGCGTCCTGCACACACGAGCGGACCCTGCCCCTGCTCCCGTCCATCTGAGACCCGGCGCTGTGGCTGCCTCCAGCGGGGTCACCAAAGCCAGCCCCGCTGGGGTTTGACTGCGGGCGGACAGGCCTCCCCCGGGCGCAGCCCGCTGAGGAGAAGCGGGGGGGACGGGGGCGGGCTGCAGCCGCTGCCCAGGGAGGCGGAGGCTGGGCGAGGCGAGCAGAGGGCGGCGAGCGGGCGCCTCCCCAGCGGAGCCGGCGGCACTGACGGCGCTTCCGGCGGGGCGAGCCGGGATGTGC